AACTTCTCCAACTACCCAATCAAGCTCAAATGAAGCCGCATCCGTAACATCTACATCCTCGTCCGTTACCACGTTTACGTCTCCATACTTATCTCCAACGATTGGACCCGCTAGTCTTGTCTCGACGTCCACTGAATCACCGACTACTGGTTTGACGTCTTCCCTTTCCTCGTCAATTTCGGGTCGAAGCTCTTCACCCGAATCCAGTTTCGAAAGCTCAATCGAGGCCTTGTCTAGCTTATCACTTTCCTCATCATCAACCTCGACCGGGCTGTCTCTATCTTCGAGCCCCCCATCAGTTGATCCAGCGAGTTTGGTTTCAAGTTCGGAATCATCTTCCTCGAGCTTATGGACATCCTCCGTCAGCTCAACCACCGGGATCACAATCACACTTTCAAGCACCAATTTACTCCCATATTCTGCATCTTTCACCACTACGTCATCCAGTGCGACAACCACTGCAGAATCCCCAACTTCTCTGTCACAGTCATCGTCAGCGAGCACTACAAGCACCTCTTCGTCAATATCTTTGTCGTCGTCGTCGACCTCTCCGACTGCGCCAGAAGTCGTTCCTTCGACCTCATCTGATTTGTCAGTTAGCTCGTCTACCTCTTTAGCATCTTCAAGCCCAACGGTCGATCAAGCAACGCCACTGCCTACTTCGGAGCCATCATCGATCAGCACGTCCATAGATCCAAACTCCCCGTCTTCGTCTTCGATCGCGCCGGATGCGACTTCTTCAAGCTCATCTGACTCAACGTCTATTTCAATTACTTCATCTACGTCTTGGAGTTCAGCAGCTGGTCAAGATACGTCGCTGCCTACATCAGAGTCTTCGTCGATGAGCACTTCGACCTTCTCCTCATCCTCATTAGCTTCCTCTGCGCGTTCATCTAGCTTCGCCTCTGAGCCTGCTACTACTCCACCTGTAACATATGTTTACACGACCATATTCCTCACAGCTTCAGACTCGCCAGACTCAACTATCATTGCTTCAATCGGACCGAGCGGTACTCAAGCTGGCACTATAGTCGTCGGAAGACGAGCACAATTTGTTACTGTCACTCGCCCATACAGTGGGACCAATACTCTGAGCGGCGGTGCAACTATTGTCAGCATCGTGCAACCGCAAGATGAACAGCCAGGAACAGTCTACGTTGAGACAACTCCAAATGCGGTACCCTTGACTTCCACGTCAACATCTACTGACCTCTCGCCGGGGTTGTCGAGCTCAATATTCTCAAGCTCTTCGACCTTCGAGCCATCCCTAAGTACATCGTTTACTGGCACCAGCACCACTTCTACAAGTACGACTGATACTGTCGAGCCGAATACCTTGCTGTCAAGCACGAGTGCCGCTTCGACGAGCTCGCCTTCTAGTTTAGACTTACCCCCGTCGTCCTCCACTTCTCAGCCATCGTCGACTTCTGCTAGCACTTCTGAGTCGACTAATAGTGTGTCTTCCATATCAGTTTCAAGCACACCTTCAAGTATCAGCTCAAGTAGCCCCTCAGGACCATCTTCCAGCATCTCCAGTATCATATCGTCAAGTACAGCTAACACAGCGGAAGATGATACCTTACTCCCGACCACGAATGTGTCCTCAACGAGGGCCTCATCTAGCTCAGAGCTCCTTTCATCAGGTTCAATGTTACTGTCCTCGTCTGAATCGACAGTAATATCTTCGTCGACCTCAAGTATTGGCTCCAGCCAACTCTTCCAGAGCAGTTCGAGTGACCTTCCAAGTGCCTCTTCTACTGTTATTTCATCCACGTCGAGCCTGAGTGTCGATCCCGCATCTTTGTTGTCGACATCATTGACTCCATCGTCGTCATCAACAACAAGCACAACTGAATTGTCTAGTTCAAGCTCCGTCGATTCTTCCAACACTTTCGCGACCGCAAGCGTCGCAAGCACATCCTCGACTTCTACGGGCAGCTCCGCGTCGTCAAGTACCACAGTCAATCAGGCCACCTTACTGTCGGCCACCACTAGTGCTTCTTCGGCATCGACTTCAGGACCAACTAACAGCTCGACCGCATTCGTTTCTTCGGATTCTTCCAGCGCGAGTCAAACTTCAAGCTCATCAACTATAACGACTGTCTCGCCGACGCCCATGTCTTCAAGCATTACGGCTGACCAGGCTAGCTTGCTACCGACTACCTCAAGTGGTTCTTCAACGCCAACTTTAAGCTCAAGTACTTTGGATGTGACCTCGTCGTCGACTTCTCCCTCAAGTCTCTTCAGCACAAGTCAGGGCTTATCGGCGACCGCGAACATATCATCGACGCAGATTGCATCCAGCCTCTTGTTAAGCGATTCTTCCTCCACAACCCCGACCTCGAATGCTGCTACGTTGCTTTCGACATCAAGCAGCACCTCAGCGGGCCAGAGCTCAAGTTCCTCTAGCTCGATATTGGCTTCTTCCACATCGTCGATCAGTAGCCCTGTTTCCCAACCGACGTCGTCTTCAAGCGGCCTTTTCGGCAGCTTCTCGTCAACTGACTTATCGTCACCCATCCCATCATCTACTGGCTCTACTTCTTCCAGTGTGTCTGTCGACCCTGCCACATTGGTACCTACGGCTTCTAGCGCTTCGACGAGCAGCTCTCAAAGCACTTCGTCATCAGTGGGCATCTCTTCTAGTCCTGCTTCATCTGCATCTACGTCCAGCAGTATTTCAACGCCGCCCAGTAGCTCCTCGTCAATCACCTTAAGCACATCATCGTCAGCCAGCCAAACGACGAACGCCGCCACGCTGCTTCCCACAAGCAGTAGTACAACAGGGCCCTCTTCGAGCAGTTATAGTAGCAGTTCTTCTCCATCTTCTAGCTCTGCAGTCAGCTCAACCTTCACTTCCAGCGGTACTGCGTCGAGTAGTAGCTCGCTCAGCAGCTTTGCATCTGATAGTCCAACTGCCAACGCCGCCACACTGCTCCCGGCGACAAGCAGCGCAGCAGGGTCACCTTCAAGCACCTCGGCTAACAGCCCGTCGTTGTCCTCGAGTTCAACGTCCAATGTGGGCTCCACTTTCAGTAGTACGGTCCCCAGTACTACTTCCTCCATCAGCGCAACAGTCAATCCAGCTACGTTACTGTCACCGAGCACCAGTTCAACAGCGGCACCTTCGAGCAGCTCCGCAGTCAGCTCTTCACCCTCTTCCAGCTCGTCGGCAAGCTCATCTACAGTTAACCCTACTAGCAGTACTACAATTACGACTAGTAGTCTCCCTGGCACGTCTTCTTCTCCTTCTTTGTCTTCTTCATCCAGCCCAACAGTCAATGCAGCCACGCTCCTGTCAACGACCAGCAGCGCTTCTACGAGCAGTCTTTCAACAGTCTCATCTTCATCTTCCAGGGCAACAACAAGCTCCTCACCAAGTGCAACGAGTAGCTCTTCTGTAGGAACTACATTGTCCTCGTCTACTTTATCGAGTCCGACATTTAACGCGGCTACTTTGATATCCACCTCCACTATTGGGACTCTGACGAGCAGTGTTTCCGTCATCAGCTCGTCGTCAAGTGCCACACCAAGCTTCTTAAGCTCAGCTCCTAACAGCAACATCCCTTCTACGGATACGAGCAGGTTCTCGAGCAGCTTATCAACAGGCACTTCGTCTTCTTCAAGCCCGACAGTTGAAGCGGCCTCATTGGTGTCCACTACTAGCAGTGCGTCTACAAGCAGTAGCTCATCCACCAGCTCAACATCTCCCACCTCTGCCAGCTCTTCGATCTCGGTATCCACTAGCAGTGGCACTACTACCACCCCATCATCTAGTGGCTCTGCTCTCAGCTCGTCTCCCACTTCTTCGAGTGTGACGGTCAACGCAGCCACCCTGTTATCTACAATAAGCTCCATAACGAGCACCTCGACAAGCACCTCGACGACCAGAAGCTCGATATTCAGCACGACATCTCTGAGTAGCACTTCAAGCAGCTCTTCGAGTGGTTCTCCGAGTAGCTCTACTGCTTCACCCACGGCGAACCAAGCAAGCCTGCTTTCCACATCCAGCAGTGCCACTACTAGCAGTTCTGCCACCAGCTCTACTGCCAGTATTTTCACTACCAGCAGTATATCCCGTACCTCTGCGTATTCATCTACAAGTGTCACAATCAACCCCGCGGCTCTGGTTCCCACAACAAGTAGTACAGGCAGCAGCAGCAATAGCGTGACGAGTAGCAGTTCTTCCACGAGTAGTAGTAATAGCTCGAGCAGCATCCCTTCAAGCACCTCATCCTCGAGTGTCACTGTCAACGCCGCGAGCTTGGCGTCAACTACAAGTTCATCAACATCAACCACGAGGATATCAACGTCGTCTTCACTCCCTTCGAGCTCTGGTAGCTCTTCCTCGAGCACAACCGTAACCTCGTCATCTTCTACATCGTCTATAAGCTCTTCCTCGAGCTCCTCTTCAAGCTCCTCCGCCAGCGCTGCGCTCAACACATTGCTGGGTTCGTCGAGCGCCTCCACGTTCTCGACCTTGACAAGATCGTCGTCTTCTTCGACGACTTCACCTACGTCCAGCAGCGTCAGTGTCCAGGCAAACACGCTGGCGTCAACTAGCTCGAGCCCAAGCAGCACATCCACATCGGCAACCACGACAAGCACACTTGGCTCGACTTCATCGTCCACTGTGCTGAGCTCATCCTCCTCCTCACGGACTAGTACGACGTCGACATCGTCTTCAAGCTCGACTTTCAGCTCAAGTTCAAGCTCAAGCTCGACTTCATCTTCATCCCGCACAACCACTTCAACAAGCAGCTCTTCCAGCTCGAGCAGCAGTAGCACGAGCACTTCCTCGACCTCTTCCAGAGTTGTCGCCTCAGCCACACAAGGCCCCGCATTCTCATGTCCTACTACCGGCTTTCTGATTCAGTCCCTGACCTTGTTTTCACTGAACTTGGCTACTGGAGAGCGAACCCAAATCGCCGACAACATAGGTGGAGACTCAACGCGCAACATTAACGCCTTGGGCTATAACGCAAGAGAGGACTACCTCTATGGTATTTCCCAGAACGAGGCCGCCACCGACTTCAAGATCATTCGCATCCTGGCCAACGGCACGGGTACGTATGTCACTACGGTCAGCAAGCTCACAACCGGCCTGTTCAACTCGGGCGACATCGACGAGAACGGCCAGTATTGGATCTCTACTGGTGGTGCCGACTTCTATCAGTACAACTTCGCTCCTGGCACCACAAATTACGGAGGTCTCGTCACTAGTGGCAAGCTCACAGGTACCGGCGGTTACACAATCGGTGACTGGACTGTCGTTCCTGGCGTCGGAGGCGGAGATCTATGGTCCGTCGGCGTGAGCAATCAAGTTGCTTACTTGTTGCGCTGGAGCCGGACTACCCACGCATTCACAGTGGTTCGCAACTTGGGCAACCTCACAGGAGCAACTGGGACTACGGTGCCTTTCTGGGGTGCGAGCTACGCAACCACAGATGGCTACCTTTTTGCGGTGGAAAACGGCAGTGGGCAGATTTGGCGTATTGCTGTTGATGGCTCTTCAAACCCTCTGAGGTTGAAGGATGCACCAGTCAGCAGTCGAAACGATGGTGCCAGATGTCTGGATTCCGGTGCCATTGTTGTTAGTGGCTAAGCGTGGCCTGATGTGTCCCTGGGTCGTTTATTCCTTCTTTATTTTTGAGATGCCTTCTGAAATACTTAAGCTAAAATTGTGTCAGCGTTTATTTGTTTCTCCGGGGTTAGTAAAAAATGGTAATTCTTAAAGACGAATCAAAATACCGAGTTAATAAATAATGTTAAATCTGTTGAACGAACTGTCTCAGATCAGACTGCTCAAGACTACCAGCTCCTAAGAGTCGATTTGTGCTATCTTGAAGGCTCCGTTGCCGCAGCGCATCCAATGGTATAAATGAGACCTTGTTGCCGGCAGAAAAAGCTGAAGCAACCAAGCCACCTGTAGTCACACAACGTGCCGAATTGAGCTAGCTGGCTCCCAGAAGCCAAAATGGCATCGACGTTTCCCAGCCGTGGCGAAGACTAAGCTGTTTCACTTAGAGGCCCTAGGCCGGTGCTAGCAGGAGGCAAATAGGGATCATTCACTGCCAGGCGTCATCTCCTTGCACATATACTTATTTGTATACGCACGAAAGGGTATCTCAGGACGGACGGTTCCTGTGATGAGGTAAAATGACTACATGTAATGTGAGGGCCCAAATTGGTGTGGCTAGCCGCAACCCCGGCATATACTTTTTGACTCAAAATACTGGTTGTTCAGAGTAACGAGTCGACGAGTTAGCCCTTTAACATGGGCTCTCAAAAATGGACGTCCAAGGGAGGGCTTTCATAAAGAAGGTCTAGCTCCAAGGTTTACGGCTGTAGGATGGGCAAGCAACCTGCGTTGTCGCGAGCCACAGTGATCAGTGCAAAGGGCTGCGTACAAGCTGCAAGTAATTAATCCCCAGATTCGCCATCCCGCATGGCTGATATAGACTTTAGGGTCATATCACAGACCAACGTCAGTTATTAAGCTTCAACCTGGTTGCGGTGGCCTTGAAGTTTCCCAAAGTTCCACCGAGTCAAGACCCATGCTAATTTTGGCACCGATTTGGCACTAGATAATCGTATTCTATCAGTAGTTACTCATCACAGGGATCGCAAGGGATCCCAGCCCGCCTTAAATTGCTTAAAATGCATCCCCAAGCCAACTAAAACCTGTGAAAAATGACGCTTTACGCTGTAAATCAGGCTTGGCTAAACATCCACGGTCGCTACGAACTCTGACGTCGCTGGTTCCGCACAACAACTTGATTTTTTCTCTGCCCTCCCCCATCCTCAGTATTCTGGCCCATTGGGTAAGAGTCAGTCATACCAACAAAAAATTATATCACACCGGGGTCACCGGATGTCACGCCATATATAGCATTGTTTGCCTACGCCCTCTCCACTGCGAAAATCGCCAAGATGCCAAAAGAGGAGGAAAAAAGGGGGTTCGCCGTTCAAATTGGGTAGGACCCGGAGGAGACTTACATGGGGTCTCCACCGCGGATTGACCGTTACACTGCCGCAAGCCGAGGCTCGGGACGAGAGAATGAAGAACTACATAGTCGGCGGGGGCTCCTCGCTGGTTTTTTCGGTTTCCATTTCGTCTCTTCAGTGCCGTCGCTGAGAGCATTCACATTCGTTTTCGACATTCGTTCTTTTTGCTGATTCTGGAGTCAAGATGAGCGCTGTCACCAAGTTTGGGTTCGAGTTCCAGACTGCCACTATCAATGGCGTCGAGTACAACTACATCCACGCCGAGCCTGCGGGCAAGGTGGTAGGGACAATCTTCCTCATCCACGGGTGGCCCGATATGTCCCTGGGATGGCGCAACCAGATTCCTTACCTCCTGTCCAAGGGCCTCCGGGTCATTGCTCCTGACATGATGGGTTACGGAGGCACTGATGCTCCCGCCGACGTCAACTACTAGTAAGTCTCTTACACCCAGTACCTCACCTCAACGAGGAAAGCTTGGCGAAGACTAACCGACCCAACCAGCACATTCAAGCGCGCCTCAGATGACATTGCTGCTCTCGCCAGCCACCTCGGCCTCTCGCGCATCATCCTGGGCGGCCACGACTGGGGCGGAGCGGTCGTCTACCGCGCAGCCCTCTGGCACCCGGAGCTGATCTCGGCCTTCTTCGTCATCAGCACCCCCTTTGCACCGCCCCGTCTGGCCTACGTCGACCAGGCCACCGCGCTACCCACGCTGCATTACCAGCTGCAGTTCCGCACCGACGCCGTCCAGGACTACATTGGCCTCGGCGACGTCCAAAACGCCACCCGCGTCCGCCAGATCCTCAACACAATCTACGGCGTCAAGCTGCCCAGCGGTGCATCAGCCTTCAACTCCAGCGGCGCCGGGTTCGACTTTGACCTTCTCGACGGCGTAACGACGGACACGCCGCTGTTGAGCGAGGAGGAGCTCGACTACTACGTGGAGAACTACGCCGGTAGTGATCCCTTTAACAGGACGCTCAACTGGTACCGTACCGGCGAGCTCAACTGGCAGGACGAGCTTGCGCTCATCCCTAGCAACGCTACGGCGTACACGGCCAAGTACTCGCAACCTGCGCTGTACATCGGCGGTTCGCTCGACTCGGCGCTGCCTCCCATCTTGTCGACCGGTATGGAGACGTACTTCGACAGCTTGTCAAGAGGCGAGGTGAATGGTACGCATTGGGTCATGTGGGAGAAGCCCGAGGATGTGAACGGTTATGTTGGCAACTGGCTGAGCAGCTCAGTATTGGGCAACCTGAGTCTCGGTGTCAATGTCACGGCTGGAAGCGCTCTGGCTTTGCTGTGATCGGTGACATGTCGGCGGAGGAGGGTCTTGCCTGGGAGTCGCATGGCAAGGACAACGATGCGTATGACTATGAAAATCAGTATATAATAGAAGCATATTACCATTGTACAAACGAGTTTCCAGAACATGCCGCTGTGATGGTTGAACGCAATCAATCGATCGATTTCATGCCCTGAAGTCGTCAACACTGCAAGGAAAAGTATAGTGGGGTGAGGGATGTGCGATGATGCAGCTGCAGGAAGGGACCATCCGTTCACTGCAGCCCGGGCAGGGCCTGGAACTGGACGCTGGCAGCGCTACCTAGGTACATGCCTAGGTACCTTAGTTGAACCCCACCGGAGCCACTGACGCCGACCTCCGACTCCACTCAAAATTTCCAGCTCTCACTTCATCCCACCTCAGACAAGTCCGAGGCCATCCTCCAGATCGTTTGCCCTTCAATTGAGAGGATTCTCTGCTTTCCCGTTGTTCCGAAAGATATTACGACAATGGCTACCTCTAAGGGCCTTCCTCGCGATACATTCGCCAAGCTCTCCCCTCATCCCTTCCTCCTCGCAAACCTCCAGCCTCCCGCGCCCGCCAACGCTGCCAGAAGCAACGGCCGCGCACCCAACGAAGCCCGAATTCCCAATGTCAACACTTCCAGCTTGACCCATGCCAATGGAAGCGCCGTTGTGCGGACGGGTGATACAACTGTCATCTGCGGTGTTCGCGCCGAAACACTTCTCGCCTCCGACATCCCCAACTTCCGCACCGCTGCGAATCTCGACGATGAAAACGGCAAGCCCAGCTCGGAGCTGAAGGACTACGACTTGCTCGTGCCCAACATCGAGCTCGCCACCGGCTGCGCACCGCAGTTCCTCCCCGGCGTACCTCCCACAACACTGGCACAGACCCTGAGCACGAGAGTTTATTCACTGCTGCATTCCTCCAACCTCGTCGACCCGGAGAACCTGAGAATATGGTACACCCGCCCTGCCGAGAAGGCCGAGATGGAGGGCGATGATGGAGACGACAAGATGGATGAGGACGAGGACGAAGAGAAATCTGAGGGTGAAAGGGTTGTCATGGCATACTGGGTTTTGTATATCGACATCTTCTTCATCTCGTTCGATGGTAACCCCTTCGACATTGCCTGGGCTGCTATCCTGGCCGCCCTTCGCGACACAACGATACCCATCGCACGCTGGGACGCAGACCGCGAGATGGTCGTCTGCTCCCGAGAGAGCCCCAAGCCCCTGACGTTGCACGGCTTCCCTATCGCCTGCACAGCTGGCGTCTTCACAGGCAAAGAGACGACGGATCGGCCTGCTGCCGGCAAGTTCTGGACTCTGGTCGACCCGGACAGGTTGGAGGAGAGTCTATGTGATGAAGAGGTAACAGCAGTGGTGGACCGAAGCGAGGGAGAGACGAAGGTATTGGCGATATCAAAGCATGGAGGAACCGTACTGCAGCCGCAGCTCATACGGGAGTTTGTAGGCGTTGCAGAGCGGAGATGGGAGCAGTTTTACAAGGCCATGGCATGAAGATAATGATACCCACCAAAAGGAAGACATGAAAATCCAAGACGTTTGGGGAAAGGAAGCCGGTTCCTCTTATGTATCCTCAGGTTGTGCTCTACCCGGCCAAAGACTGCAACCGATCCCCCCCTATCGTGAGCTTTGATGACCCCGCCGCCTTTCATCCACCAGCCGCCTTTGGTGCGGTCCGGGTGAAGATGAAAGCGCATACCTACTTGAGCCCCTCAACTTCCATTATCTTTTCTCTGACACGATCTTCTGAAGCTGCTAAGCCTCTCTCTTCACATCACCTTAAAAAATCAGCATCACTTGAGGGGGGAAAATAATCATCACCACTTTCTGGAAATTTTGCTTCAGACACACCAAGCATCATCATCCAGCAATGGCCAATCTTCATTCTCGAATCCAGGAGGCCTCGAAGGAGGAACTCGTCCAGATCCTCAAGGCTGTCTGCAGCTTCACCGACACCCACTACCACGTCAAGAGCGTCCTCGACTACCTCGACGACAAGAAGCAGTCGGAGGCCGCCGCCGCCGCCAAGCGTCGCCTGTCTACCCGCGCCTCCTTGTCCAACAAGAGCTGGGCCCAGCCGCTCCCCAAGACTGTGAAGCGCAACATCAAGATGTGCGAGCTGTGCGAGCTGCCCTTCGTCGAGAAGGAGAACACCAACGAGTCTTGCCTGTCTCACTATGGTAAGTTGCGATCCATCCGAGACGTTCCCTGTTCAATGTGGAGTGAAAGTATGCTTACGAACTGCGTTCGACGCAACAGGCAAGTGGCTTCTCGAGTGCGAGAATGAACACGAGGTCTGGTTCGCGGATCTTGACAAGGCCGGCGAGGAGTTCACTTCCAACAAGGAGGCCATGTGCATCGTCGACTGCTGCAACAGCCAGCGTGGCGCCAGCAAGGGTTGCGTCAAGGCCAAGCATGTCGCCTTGGTCCCTGATGTCGACACCAGCGAGGACTCTTCTGACAACTAAAGGGTTCACCGACAACACGATAACGAGACATGATTATGATACCACAAGGGCATTACAATTTGGGGGTATAGGTCTGCTTGATTTTACAGAGTCGTCGGTACCTGAATAAGGTGTCGCAGAGTGCGCCAGGAATTGTTACGAGGCATCAAAATAGGTCAAAACGGGTTTTCACTAGCAGACAGGAAACAATCATTAGGGATTGACAGTAGTCTGGTTTACTTGTTTCGGTTCATAGAATCAACTTAGCAAAGAAAACAGAGCTTCGTCATCTCCCACAAGGATCGAGCCAAAGTCTGCGAAACACGGAACACACAATGAGCGTGCCGCGGTGAAGATATGTATTCCACAATTCGAGCCACCTTTTCAGACTTTATTCCAAGGCAGTAGATACTAGGGAAATTCCTTCTACCGCCCGGCGCCGAGGAAGCCTAATGAAAGGCCCTCATGAGCCGCGAATTAACTGAATGTTGACTCGCGGCTTGGTTACCGAGCGGATGATGAAGGAAGGAAGAAACCAGAGAAAGTCGCGCTTTCCTCGCGATGAAAATTTAGGCGAGCCAGCTACAGTGCCGAAATACAGTGCCCGCTGTGGCTTTCACACACTTCAGCCTCCGTTTTCCAGAGTTCCCCACCATGGAGCCCCATCGTCAATCTTCCTGGTTCCAACCTCAGCTCTCGACTTCCACGCAAATTTTCCCTCCTTGCTCTTCTTTCGACCTCACACTTTCCAACACCATGGAATCGCTGGCCGAGCAGACGTGGGATGTCATACTCCACGGCACTGGCCTGCAGCAGTCGCTGCTAGCCTTGTAAGCTCTCTTCCTGGCCTCTCTTTTTCTTTTCCCAGCCCAACTCGTCGTCGTCTTTCGGCATCGTTGTTTCTTGAAAAAGCCTCGATCTGACTGACGCAGTCTCGTCTGGCCGTGAAGAGCCCTCTCGCGGTCAGGAAAGCAAATTCTGCACCTCGATCCCAACGAGTACTATGGCGGCCCCGAAGCCGCCTTCAGTTTGCAAGAGATAGAAGAGTGGGCGACTGCGAACGCTGCTCCCGCCGACGATGTCGCCGGATCACCGCGCGTCTTCTCGTCAGTGACGGTGAGCAAGCCCGAGGTAGCAACGGGTTCCGGACCTTCACTCTCTTTCCCGAGAGCCTACTCTCTCGCTCTCGCGCCGCAGATCATACACACCCGCTCAGAGCTGGTGAAGCAACTCGTATCGTCGCGCGCGTTCCGACAGATCGAGTTTCTCGCCGTTGGGTCCTTCTTCATCTACACCCCACCAGCTACCGGTAGCGGGATCGAAGCCGGAAAACCGAGCCTTGTGCCGATCCCCTCAACCCGCGAAGCCGTCTTCTCCACAACTGCTATCCCCGGAAGGGCGAAGCGGTCGCTGATGAAGTTCCTCAAGTTCGTCTTCGACTACAACTCGGAAGACAACAAGGGTATATGGGCTCCACATGCCGACAAGCCTCTGTCGGAGTTCCTGTCGTCGGACTTCAAGCTGGACACCGCTCTGCAGACCTACGTCGTCACGCTTACCTTGAGTCTGGACGGCAAGGTCACAACCACGGACGGCTTGGCCGCTATCCACAGGCACCTCTCCTCCATGGGCGCCTTCGGGCCAGGCTTCGCTGCTGTGTACCCCAAATGGGGCGGTCTCTCTGAGATCGCGCAAGTCGGTTGCCGCGCTTGCGCCGTCGGCGGCGCAGTCTACATGCTAGGCACGGGCACGAAAGCTACGCGCCAGCTCGACGAAGCCCAGGAAGATTGCGCTCGCTTCGAGGTCGACTTAACCAGCGACGTCACGGTGAAATCCCGGACGTTCGTTCGCGGCGCTGAGGGGATTACCTCCGGCGGCCAGCGTGTGAGCAGGTTGACTGCAGTCGTCAACTCGCCGCTCTCGTCTTTGTTCGAGGCTGTTGGCGAAGGATCGCCTACACCAGCTGTAGCAGTCATTGCATTCCCGGCCAACTCCATCGCCAATGTTGCATCAGCATTCCCCATTTACGTCTTTGCTCATTCGAGCGAGACTGGGGAGTGTCCAACCGGACAGAGTAAGTTCAAACATCCCCCTATTTCTCCCTATTTTAAGCCCTCCATCGTACACATGATGATTTCAGAAAAAAACTTATCTACATTGCCTGAGCTTTTGCTTTGACGTAAACTTCTGTGGAACTGATTGTACACATTTCCATCACACTTTGACCTGCAACTACCTCGAATTGTTTTGTCACACGACTAACAGGGTCACTGTTTAGGCGTTCTCTACTTTGTCACTCCAACGACACCAACCTCAGCCGAAGCCTTGGAAAAGGCTTTGGCTTCGTTGCTTTCTGCCCTCGGCGATGGCGAACACAAGCCACAGGCGATCTACAAGGTCGCATACCAACAGGCACACGCGGCTGCGTCAAGTTCCGCAGATGCATCAGACGTCCTTCCCAGCCTGCCGCTCGATCTTGCCTTCAGCGACACGGCTCTGGAGCCGGTCAAGGATGCCTGGACGAAAGTCATGGGTCCGGCGGCCGAGGATCCCGACATTATCTACATGAAGTTCGAGGATCGGGAAGGAGTTGGCGATGAGGAGGATGTCTACGAATAGTCTAGCTTTTCCAATGAGTGCACGTAATAATGAACCTCAATGACATCTTCAAAATCAAGAACTTCTTCTGGTGAATGTAGCTAATGTGTGTTCGATGTTTAGCAAGTCTTCTGCCCGTATGTGATCCCAATTCCTCGAGATGGCAATTCCAAGTTCCCAGATTCTCCACCAGACCGATCGATACCTTAGTCCTTAGATGACTGGATTCGCCTTCTCACTTCGAGAAGAACCCCCCTCATCCTAATCCGGAAAACCAAATGTGTCGCAATGTAGAGCTGAAAATCAAAGACGCAGAAAATGTCAAACGAACCTCCCTCCCCGAACGAAACTTTTCAAGCAAACAAACTCTCCCCGATTCTTTCAGGCAATTTGCAGCATTAGGCACCCCGTGTCGTTATATCGTGTCGTAGAATCGATCGTTGAATACGCTATTCAGTTGTCAATCCTCGCTGTTGATGTGCGCCGTCATGTCAACTCCAATTCGAATAGGCCCGAAGGGCTGCAGATCCGCAACATGCTGCTCGACTGTAATGGCGTCCTTGGTCGCCAGAGCGAGAACATGATAGAACGCCTGGGCCGCGACGACGTGGTTCTGCTTCGTGGGCTCGATGAGATTATCAAAATCAACCCATCGACGATATTTCTTCGCATCTCCCTCCTTGATTTGGCCCGTCTTCTTGGCTTCTTCCTTTGTCCATTGCAGGAACTCTCCACTTGCGGTGTCGAGCATCGATCGCATCCATTGAGAGTCGTTCTCACCTTCCTGCTAGGCAGTGATAAGGATCTCAGCTGGATCAAGACCTTCAGGAGCCAAGTCCTGTGACGCCGGCATGTCGAAGGGAAAGGCGTCGAAGTTGTCCGTGTGCTGCGCATCATGTAGGGGCTCGAAAGGTGGCATGCTGCTTCCGCGGATACTGGCAGACTTCTGGCGGCTAGTGTTTTCATGCCTCTGGGCGCTGTGGCTGGCAACGGAAGAGCCCCTGCCTACCGAAGGGGTTTGGGCCCAAGGCATCAAGGACGATGAATGATTGTCGCGCATGGGCTGGCCAGCCTCCATGCCCATCTCGGGCATCGAATCGTCCCCGAAGGCCATGTCGAAGCCAGTGTCATCGTCCATAAGGCGGCCTTGCTGCGGTGTCTCATTGAGCCTGGGTCGAACGTTTCGGTCCGCATCTTCATTGCTGTCCTCTCCAAATGCTTCGCCTGCTCGTCTCCGACGGCCTTTGGGGGAAGGTGTCTGAGCCTCGCGTTCCTCTTCTGTGGGCGGGCCGTAAATGATGTCACGCAGGCCATTGCCCGCGAACAGCTCAGCTAAGGGGAAGTCAACCCCATAGGTACCCACGCCTCCAATACCCTTTCCAAAAAGAAAGAAGTAGGCATTCTCTTTGGCTTGGTTTGCGTTGCCCCTGCGCCTTTTGATCGCTCTTTCTGTGTTATCGAGGTAGCCTTCCTGCCAGGATTTGAGAGTTGAACGGGAGAGCTGTGTGCCGTTATCTAGCATTAGAATGCGGCGACGCTTGTTGGCAGGGGCAACTGCTTGGTCGCTCTGAACCTTCCAGGAGGCCTCAGGGACCAATGGCTCATCTCTCAAAAGCGGAAGAGGGTCGCTTCCAACCAAGGGCACGGCATGTTGCGCGTCGACAGCAAGGACATCGCCAGCAACTTGATGATCGTCCGCGACCTGATCATGCTGAATTAGAATGTCGGCCTCGTCCATGTCGATCCCTGGAAGCTCAGGTAACTCAAGCTCGTCTTCGTCCAGGATGACTGCCCCGTTTTCGTCAATTGCTAGCTCCACGCCACCAAAGTTGTCGAAGTCGTCCAGAGTTCCGAAAGGGTCTGCATTCATGTCGAGTTCCATATCGTCCCGAGATCGAGGAAGGAGCGTCTTCTGTGCAGAGCGCACGAAGGGAGAAGGCAAGCGGAAATCTGGGATATCTGGCGACTGGGAAAAGTCGAGATAGAACGGGGAATTTCCGTGGCCACTGTCGTCAAGGAAGTCGATGGGATCGGGGAACGGACTGAGTTGTGACTGCGACTTGTTTCTGGAGCCTGAAGATGGCTGACTGCCAGAAACGAAGCAGGGACTACCGTCGTCGTCAATGGTGAAGTAGGGCATAACACTCGAAGGAACGAAGCCCGGGTCGTCGCTCAAGGTAATTTGCTCGCGCCTGGCAAAATTAGCAAATGTGTCGAGAGGATTGTCGGTGGACATACCTTGCTCTTCCGGCCTTGGGATCAGTCTTGTTGTTGGCAATGAGTCTAAGAAAGGTTCTCATCGTCGTTTGAACCTTCTCTGTATCGGTGAGCATATATTTACACTGGGATGAGTAAACACGGGAGACCCCATAGAGGAGATTGCTTTGTAGACGGAGTGAGATGGGAGCTCCCGGTTGAATGATCTTCTCGCAAGCCTTCCGAATATCGACATCTTCGATAGCCCGACGGGACACCTTTTTGTGAGTGCCAGCGCCACGAGGACCAATAGTCGCAATGACCCTGTAGATAAGGGGTAAGTAGAAATATTATTTCATACGGACAGGATCTTGCTCACCAGATGGTCGCAACACCGAATTGGTGGCTGGTGAGGACTGCTCGGTGTTAGTGACAGGTGGGATCCGGTGTTCGACTGGAATGACCAACTCTCGTGGCTGTAGAACATGATGGTTTCTACACAAGAGATCAACGCCGTCGTGGCGGGAGTTGAAGCTTCGAGACAATTAGACTTGGCAGAAAGTAGGAGGTTGAGCGTGGTCTTTGTGGTGTTGGTGCGGAAGTGACGGGGTGAGTGTGGAAGAAAGGAGAAGGGACGACATAGAGGGAGGATAAGCAGTCGCGTCGTGGCGCGTCGACGGATGAGGTAGGCTGAAAGGTGCCTTCCGTATTCGAGCATTGTTGCCTCGCGGTTCCCCAAGTGCTCCTGCCATGTCGAGAGTCTTCCAAGTTGCAGAAGGCACGTTGTCCAATGGGCACCTGCCTTGTCTCGTGAGCACCTACCTCAGATGAAGACAGGTACGGGTACGCGCATTTTGAACTGTTCTGATGGCTCACAACTGCTACTTCTTAAGGTAGGCACTTACACCACTATGTAAGGTACCTACCAAGCACCATTCTCAATGGAAGGTACCTTAGCATGATATCATGCTGGAAGTTCTACCTTACAGGCTCGGCAGAAAGTCAAGGGAGTAGCTGACTGATAGTACCCAATTCTTACCAGGACCTTGTCGAACGATGGAGATGATTGTTGAGCTTGTATTGTTTTGGTGGCATAATTGATACATATTCTAGTCTTGGTAGCCGTCATCATCCGTTTTGTTACGTTAGAAGCTACCTACCTTACAAAGATACCATCCCCAGGCATTATCTCAACGTCACAGCTAGTACATTTTGCAACACAATTTGGACTTGGCTAGCGTTTACGGCTTTGGGCATCTCGGGGAACAAATAACCCCAAACTGAATTAGACTAAGGTATTAGTAGCGTGGTAATTCTACTCAACCAAGGTTTGAGGAAGAGAAATATCAGAAATTGAGGAAAGATGTGTGCACTTGGAACTTTTGAGATGGTTTCGCCAGAGGTACTCGGACTAGAAGTCAGGCTTTCTGATCAGGGTATCTTGAATTGACAAGAGGAAGCTCCAATTAACAGAGAGTTTGAAATTGCGATAGAGGAGGACCACAATAGAAGGAAGCTTGGTTTTGGAAGTTGAAGCCTCAACTAAGAATGTTTTCATATCAAACCCAAACTTCGATACGCGTCTGGTTGTTATTAATGGACTTATAAACATAGATAACAGTCGGCAGTAAGTTAGCCCAATAGAAATAGTCAAACGTCGCTTTATGAGCAAAGTACTTTGCGGGATCGCGAATGATAGATTCTTGTGGTTGAGACTTGAGGTTACGATCAGGGAACAGATGACATAAGCACCGGACGGTGTGCACAGATCTTGGGACCCCTGCAAACCCGGAAGCGCCTGGGTTCCAGTACGCCCGGAAGTCGGCAGGCTAATATTCCGCTGAGTCGTTGCTGGGTCAGGCCTGGGTGCCTTTTCGCATTAGAAAATCATCACCACGGGCCATGTGAAGTCGACCACAGTAAGGCGCTTTCTTTGTCCTCCCAGAGCCAAAGGCACAACAGCACCTCGGCGGCCACCACACACTCCTTTTCCCAGTCTTCTTTACCTCCCTGCGTCCGAGTTAGAGTGCGATTGATCGTGTTTGCCTGCCTCGAAGCACGTCGAAGCTACCCATACCACCGCTTCTGCGACAGCTACCCCGGACCCTCGACGAGGCAACATCCTCCTAATACCAACGACACGATGGCGCCCCTTATTCTTCACAATGTTCCCGATGAGGAGCTTTACGTTGGAGACGACGGCATCAAACGACCCTACGCCATGGTTTTCCCACAGTACGTCTCAAACCCAACCGCGCTCGACTGCAAGCTCAATGCCACGCGCAATGACATGCCGCTAACACAGACTTTCCTCCCCTTAGACAAGAAGGCCTTCCTGGCGCCCGCCGCCGTGGCGTAGCAGAGACTGGATCTTTTGGAAAATCAACACGCCGCTCGCGCTCGAGAACAGGAACTCCCGCCGGCCGTCGCGAAAACCCAACAGTAGCAGCCGCCGACAAGATATTTGGCGACTGGATCTCCTCCCAAGCCACAACTTCCAACTCCAACCTGGCGCCCTCATCAACATCGGGCAGCGGCGCGACGAATCCTTCCTCCGCCTCCGGTCCCAACGCCGCACCCCAGCGCAAGACCTCCGGCCTCTCGCAGCCGCCCCTCCTTGCAGCCGACGACGCGCCCGCCGCCGCCGCTGAGCCCCGCGTAACCCGTCACGTCCCGACCGAAGTCATCCTCCGCGGCTACCGCTCCGCGTCGCAACAGTACGCCGCAATCTCCCACTACGAGCAGCTCGCCGGCCTGATCTGCGAGGACTATCCCCGCGAACCGCCCCTCGAGCAACGCCGTTACAAGTCAGAGCTCCGCGATCCTGCCTTCACCCGGCGAAGAGGCCTCACGCCCGAGGAGCGCGCAAAGGTCAACCGCGCCGACGGCGGCCAACACTGGATCAAGGTTACCTTCGAGTCCGCAGACGCCGCCGATGCCGCCGTCTACGCCAGCCCCCAGCGCGTGCTGGGCTACCTCGTCTACGCGGAACCCTACCACGGCCACCAGCCTGCCCGCGACGAGCCCATCCCAGACGTCGACTCCCTCGTCCCCAGCGCCGACGATCTCGGCCGCTCACAGTCCGTCCCCGCAGGCAGCTTCGGCACACACCGGACGCCGCGCAGCAAGCACCGCACCGCATCATCCAACAAGCCCACCGGCGGCAACCCCTTTGCCCTCCCCAACGCCCGCTCCATGAGCGACCTCTCCCCGCCCACATCTCTCACCTCCTCCAACACAATCGAGACGGCCACAATCTCCAACGCGACAAACTCGTCCGCGACGGTGACCGCCGACCCCTTTTCGCAGCAACAATCGGCGCTGACCACCGCCACGACGACCACCGAAGACAGCCTCTTCTGCCGGCGCATCCCCACCGCGCGTAAGGCTAAGCTCCTCCCCGCCGAGCAGGCCCTGCTGCCGCAGCAGAGCTACACCCAGAGGCTGGTCAACATGGTGCCGTTTTTGAAGTGGTTCAGCGGCTCCATGATTGGCAACGAGGTGCCGCGCACCGACAACGGCGACTTTGACTGGAACCGCGCGAGCTTGTACTGGAAGGTCATT